GGGATTAAAGAAGAGCATGAGTAGGATGGGATTAAAGAAGAGCATGAGTAGAATGGAATTAAAGAAGAACATGAGTCGAATGGGATTAAAGAAGAACATGAGTAGGATGGGATTAAAGAAGAGCATGAGTAGAATGGGATCAAAGAAGAGCATGAGTAGAATGGGATTAAAGAACTACATGAGTAGAATGGGATTAAAGAAGTACATGAGTAGATTGGGATTAAAGAAGTACATGAGTAGAATGGAATTAAAGAAGTACATGAGTAGAATGGGATTAAAGAAGAGCATGAGTAGGATGGGATTAAAGAACTGTATGAGTAGAATGGGATTAAAGAAGAGCATGATTAGAATGGGATTAAAGAAGTACATGAGTAGAATGGGATTAAAGAAAAGCTTGAGTAGAATGGGATTCAAGAAGTACATGAGTAGAATGGGATTAAGAGCACGAGTAGAATGGGATTAAAGAAGAGCATGAGTAGAGTGGGATTAAAGAAAAGCATGAGTAGAATGGGATCAAAGAAGAACATGAGTAGAATGGGATCAAAGAAGATCATGAGTAGGATGGGATTCAAGAAGAGCATGAGTAGAATGGGATTAGTGACGCATTAAAATATCGCTATATTATACCAACTTCTGATAATTGTGTTATTTATATTGTTCCTTTATTTCATTCATATAAAATCACATGAACTAATATTTTAAAAATCGTTCGTAACGAAAAGGGTCTGCTTGAAATAAAACAAAAAACAATCGTCCTGACCTTATGGAAACCTGAAAGTCAGCGGCACGATGGACTGTACAATGTTAAATTTTAAAAGGTTAAGTCATTTCTTGTGGAAGTGTCTTTAGAAATGCCATTTCTTTCTTATATCTAAGATAACCTCGTCTCTGTACTGTTGAAGTCGTGACGCCATATTGAGTATATAACCCCCACTTTATGTTCATTATGACGCCCCTTTCCTCAGATCTTAGCGTTGTAAATCCGAAGGCTTACCGCTGTCCCACTGGTGGACCTGGACACGGTAAAGCTGATTTGTCTGTGGTTGGTTTTCGCCCCCCCCTGATAATAGTAGCCCAAGAGAGTTGGTGGGGTGTGATTATTCATTAGTTACCTTCCCTTGAATTTATAATTTAAAAATTGGGGACTTTTAGTGCAGATAGCCATCGAGTAGCTTCGAGCTAAATCTAACAAACAAGCAATAATTATTTTTCATTCGTCACCAAAACTGTAAATAACCACAAATACGTCACTGTCGTGAAGAGGTTTGTATATTTTGTTGTTTTTGCATAAAGCTGGACAATGGTCGAACCTCGAATTCTTGTGTTATAAGGAGTATTAAATTTTTCAGTGAACCACTATAAACTCGTATACAGAAGTCACAGAGACCCTCGCGCCAATAGGGCGTCATAATGAACACAAAGTGGGGGTTATATACTCAATAGGGCGTCATAATGAACACAAAATGGGGGTTATATACTCAAAGGGGCGTCATAAATGAACATAAAGTTGGGTTATATACTCTTCGATTCCCCTCGGTGGACACAGCAGATAGCCCGATGTGGCTTTGCTATAAGAAAACTCATTCATCGGAACGCTAACCACTCGAGGTCCTAAAGTGAATCATTTACACCAGTGTTTATTAAAGTGTTCAGGAACAACTAATGATTTTAAATATAATTGGAACTATGCGACCTTTCCACGAACCTCCTGGAGGAAGTTGGCAAGCCACATATTGATCTACCCAATAATCACGCGTGACAACACTTCCAGGAGAACAATAAACCCGTAGTATCGTTGAGAACTCTTACTCCTGATAAATCGGGCAGCGTTTGTCAACCATAACACCATTTCACGAAATTACAAAACAATTTCAGTTACTTATATTTTACTTTATATGCTCTGTTTTTAGAATTTTTTATTCATTCTGGTGATCTTGAACCACCACTTTTCAACCGTGTAGTCTCCACACTGTTGGTTTAAGAGTTCTAAAGATGTAGCTGATGTTTTAAATACTCCAATTTTACAGTATATATAAAACACACAACTTATGATATAGATGGATATGTAGGTTGTAATGCACTACGGAATAAGTCAAAATACAATCGGAAAAAATACAAATAAAAACTTTACAGGGTAGTTTGTTTGTTTGTTTGTTTTTGAATTTCGCGCAAAGCTAC